ACCAGAAATTCAAAGAAGACCTAATTTCAATACTCCTCAAAGTATTCCACACAGTAGAAGCAGGAGGCTCACTGCCAAACTCTTACGAGGCTACAATTACTTTGATACCCAAGCCACACAAAGACACAACTAAGAAAGAACTATAGACCAATTTCCCTCATGAATATCGATGCAAAAATACTCAATAAAATACTCGCAAACTGGATTCAAGAACACATCAGAAAAATCATCCAACCATGATCAAGCAGGCTTCATCCCAGGAATGCAGGGATGGTTCAACATTAGAAAATCTATCAATGTAATCCACCATATAAACAAACTGTGAAAGAAAAACCACATGATCATCTCACTAGATGCTGAAAAAGCCTTTGACAAAATACAGCACCCCTTCATGATAAAGGTCCTAGAGAGATCAGGGATAACAGGAATGTACCTGAATATAATAAAAGCTATATACAGTAAACCAACAGCTAACATCAAACTAAATGGAGAGAAACTCAATGCAATTCCTCTAAAATCACGAACAAGACAAGGCTGTCTATTATCTCCATATCTCCTCAATATTGTACTTGAAGTTCTAGCTACAGCAATAAGACAACAAAAGGAGATCAAGGGGATAGAAATAGGAAAACAACAAGTCAAGCTTTCACTATTTGCAGATGATATGATAGTTTACATAAGTGACCCAAACAACTCTGCAAGGGAACTCCTAGAGCTGATAAATACCTTCAGCAATGTGGCAGGATACAAGGTAAACTCAAAAAAAATCAGTGGCCCTATTATATACAGACAATGAAGTAACTGAGAAAGAAATCAGAGAAACCTCACCCTTTACAATAGCCATAAACAGCATCAAATATCTGGGGATAATGTTAACCAAGAAAGTGAAAGACCTATGTATCAAGAACTTTGATTCTTTAAAGAAAGAAATCAAAGAGGATACCAGAAAATGGAAAGATCTCCCATGCTCTTGGATTGGTAGGATCAACATAAAAAGTGGCAGTCTTTCCAAAAGCAGTCTACAGATTCAATGCAATCCCTATCAAAATTCTGGCACAATTCTTCAGACCTGGAAAGAACATTAATCAATTTTATATGGAAAAACAAAAGACCCAAGATAGCTAAAACAATGCTATACAATAAAGGAACTTCAGGAGGCATCACCATACCTGACATCAAGCTCTATTATAGAGCTATAGTCCTGAAAACAGCTTGGTATTGACACAAAAATAGGCAGGTTGACCAATGGAACTGAATTGAAAACCCTGTTTTTGTTCCACACACCTATTAACACTTGATTTTTGACAAAGAAGCTAAAACTATACAATGGAAAAAAGAAAGTATCTTCAACAAATGATGCTGGCATAACTGGGTACTGGTATGCAGAAGACTGCAGATAGATCCATGTTTACCGCCTTGTACAAAACTTAAGTCCAAATGGATCAAAAATCTCAACATAAATGCAGCCACACTGAAATTTCTAGAAGAGAAAGTGGGAGGTACTCTTCAACGAGTTGGTACAGGAGACCACTTCCTGAACATAACACCAGTGGCACAGACACTGAGATCGACAATTAACAAATGGGATCTCCTGAAACTAAAAAGCTTCTGTAAGGCAAAGGACACAGTCAACAAGACAAAAAGGCACTCCACAGAATGGGAAAGATATTCACTAACCCCACATCTGACACAGGGCTAATCACCAAAATATACAAAGAACTCAAGAAGCAAGTCTCCAAAACACCAAAGGGTCCAATTAAAAGGTGGGGTAACGAACTAAACAGAATTCTCAATAGAGGAGGCTAAAATGGCCAAGAGATACTTAAGTGTTCAACATCCTTAGCCATTAGGGAAATACAAATCAAAACAACTTTGAGATACCATCTTACTCCTCTCAGAATGGCTAAAATCAAAAACACCGAAGACAATTTATGCTGGAGAAGATGTAGAGAGAGGGGAACACTCCTCCACTGCTGTTGGGAGTGCCAACTCTTCCAGCCACTTTGGAAAGCAGTATGGAGATTCCTCAGGAAAATGGGAATTAATCTACCACTAGACCCAGCAACTCCACTCTTAGGCATATATACAAAAGAGGCAAATTCATACAACAAGGGCATCTGCTCCACTATATTCATAGCAGCATTATTTGTAATAGCCAGAACCTGGAAGCAATCTAGATGCCCCTCAACTGAACAGTGGATAGAGAAAATGTGGTACATTTACACAATGGAGTATTACTCAGCAGAAAAAATAATGGAGTCTTCAAATTAACAGGTAAATGGATAGCACTGGAAGAAACCATCCTGAGTGAGGTAACCCAGTCACAAAAATCAAACATGGTATGTACTCACTCATATACGGATTTTAGCCATGAATCAGAAGAGTGCCAGTGTGCACTTCCAATGACACAGAGTCTGGGAAACAGGAAAGAACCTAAAAGATATGCATGGTACCCCAAGAGAAGAGAAATGAGGCAAGATACTCTGAAAGGGTGGGGAACAGGGCAAGGGGTGGGGAGGGGGAGCTGGGAAACAGAGGGGGAGAAGAGGAATAGAGAGTAGGTCACGGGGGAACAGGAAGGTTGACTGGGGGGTAGGATAGGGGAAAGAGGGAATCATAGGTTAGAAGACTGATCAGGCACCATTGTGACCGCTAGTGATCTAAAGGGATGACACCAATTGGCAAGCTAAGCAATATTGTAGAGATCACCCCGAATGCCCATTCCTGATAATGAACTTGATGTCTATAACCATCCTGGAGCCTTCATCTAGTGACTGATGGAAGCACAGGCAAACACCCAAAGTTAAACACTGAACTGAACCCAAGGAACCCAGCAACAGAGAGAGAGGAACAATGAGCAAATTGGCAAAGAATGGGCTGGCAAAACCATTAGAGACAGCTGATCTGAACAGGGGAGAGCTCTTGGACCCCAGACTAACAGCTGGGAGGCCAGCATGGGATTGATCCAGACCCCGTGAATGTGAGAGTCAGTGAGGAGGCCTGGGCAACCTATGGAGTCCTGAGCAGTGTATCGGTGTTTATCCCTCGAATACTAATAGATATCGTGTGTCCATAACACAAAGACGGATGCTCTCTCAGCCTGGACTCTTAGGGGAGTGCCTGGCCCCTACCCTGAGTGAAATGACAGACTCTAGATATCCCCTATGTGGAAGGAATTGGCAATAGGGTGGGAGATTGGGGGGATGGTAGGGGGTGCAGGAAGAGGGGAGGGAGAGGGAACTGGGATTACTTGTAAAACAAGCTATTTAAAATTTAAAAATTAAAAATTCAAAAAGAAGGCTATTTCATATTCAAAGGACAAGTCCATCAAGTTGAAGTCTCAATTTTGAACATCTATGCCCCAATTACAAAGGCACCCACATTCGTGAAAGAAACATTAAAGCTCAAATCGCACATAAAATGTCACACACTAGAAGTAGGAGACTTCAACACTCTACTCTCACTGTTAGACAGGGCCTCCAGACATATACTTAAACAAAAGAACTAATAGAAGTTATGATCCAACTGGGTTTAACAGATAATTATAGAACAATCCACCCAAACGCAAAGGGATATACCTTCTACTTGGCACCACATGGAACATTCTCCAAAATCGGCATCATAATAGGAAAGATATCAAATCTCCACAGATACAAAAAATGTAATAACCCCCTGTATCTTATCAGACCACCATGCATTAAAATTAAAATTCAATAATAAAACAAATCACAGAAACCCTACAAACTCACGGAAAATTGAACAATGCACAATTGCACTATCGCTGGGTAAAGGAAGAAATACAAAAAGAAGTTAAAGACTTCCTGGAATTCAGTGAGAATGAGGACACAACATATGCAAACTTATGGGACACTTTGAAAGCAGAGCTGAGAGGAAAGTTCATAGCACTAAGTGCCCACATGAAGAAACTAGAGAACAGTCACAATAGAGAATTAATAGTACAACTAAATGCTCTAGAAGAAAAAGAACAAACTTACCCAAGAGGAGTAGACTCTAGGAAATAATCAAATTGAGGCCTGAAAAAAATCAAGCAGAAACCAGGAAAACATTGCAAAGAATCAATGAAACAAAGAGTTGCTTCTTTGAGAAAAATCAACCAGGTAGAGAAACCTTTGTCTAAATTAACCAAAGGACACAGAGAGCATGTTAATTAACAAAATCAGAAATTAAAGTCTAATACCCTGAAATAAACACTGAGGTCAATGTGAATAGAGGTATAAGGACAGGCACATAGGGTAGTTACCTAGAACTGAGGAACATCAAGTTACCCTCCCACACCTCTTTCTAGAGAATTTCGTAGAATTGTGTGTGCACATGTGTCTGTTATGTGGTTAAGTGCAGTTTATATGTGTGCTTGCCCATGGGGATGAAAGAGGTTAACATTTGCTTTCTCTCCCCTTGAAACACTACCCTTTCAAAAGGTCAATTACATGTCTGCATGGGTACATGTGAGATCTTTTTTTTTTTGGTTTTTATGAGACAGGGTTTCTTTGTATTGTTTCGGAGGCTATCGATCCAGCCCAGCCTCGAACTCACAGAGATCCACCTGCCTCTGCCTCCCAAGTGCTGGGATTAAAGGCGTGCGCAACCACCGCCCGGCGAGATCTTCTTAACTGTGGAGAACAGAGGTGTTGGATTTCTTGCACTGGAGTTACCAGGGGTTATGTGTCACCTGATGTGCTGGGAACCAAACTTCATGCCAGTATGCATACACATAAGATTTCATAGGTCTATCCTGGAGACGGTGGCACACACATTTAATGCCAGCAGTGGGGAGGCAGAGGCAGGTGCATCTCTGTGTGATTAAGGTAGCCTGGTATACAGAGTGATTTCCAGGACAGTCAGGACTACTCAGAGAATCCTTGTTTTGTAACAACAGAAACAACAACAAAAAAGAGTTCAGGGATCTAATTATTTAGGTAACACTGTAAACCACGTGGCTTTAAGTGTATCCATGTTTACACCCCACCCTTCATGCAAACCTGTGGCCTGTCCCTCATCTGGCCCTTGGTCACTCTGGATTTGTTCTCTGTCTTCTTCCAGGTTACTCATTGAGTCTTCTGCAACAGAGAGGAAGAGAGCACTGTTAATAAGTCACAGTCTAAGTGCTCCACCTGGGGATGAGAATGCTCCAATGTCCAAATGACTGTGGAGAATTAGATCAAGTCTTGACCCAGTTTATGCCTGGAGGAATCTCCTAGGCCATCGTGAGCACCAAGTGAATTCATTCAGGCAGCCATCAGGAGGGTGGCTGGGAGGCATCACAGACTAATATTTTTGAGCCAGGGTCTCACTCTATAATTCAAGCTGGTCTAGAACTTGCTATGTAGACCAAGCTAACCTTGAACTCAAATCTGCTGGCCTGTACCTCCCAATCCAAATATTGGGATTGAAGTTGTAACACTATCATGCCTGGCTCATCACTAGACTCTTGAATGATTCTTGTCACTCAAAATGACACCTGCTTCTTGCCTCAAAAACAATAAAAGTGAATTAATGACCAACTTAAGTTTTTGGGTAGGAAGCATGAGGTTTGTGTAGCCTTGAAACCACTACTTAGGTAACCTGGAAACAATCTAGGTGCTCCTCAACTGAAGAATGGATAAAGACTATGTGACACATTTAGACAATGGAGTATTACTCTGTGGCCAAACAGCAACTACTTGTGGCTGAAGAGATGATCAGATATTAAAAGCACTGACTGCTCTTCCAGAGGACACAGGCTCAATTCCCAGTATCCACATAGCAGCTAACAACTGTCTGAAACTCCAAGATCTAAAATCCTTAGACAGATATATGTGTATGTAAAACACCTATGCACATACAATAAACAGAAATTTAAAAACTAACTACTTAGTATCTGAAATGCATTACATGGCAGATTTAAGAGCAGAGTTCCTTTTTAAGTAAGTTTATGACAACACCAGAAAAGACCAAGAAACTTTTTCTAAGTGCAATAGATGATTGAAGCCAGTACTTTATGGACATGCTATCATTGGAGACTGAGCCAGAGCCTCATGCTTGCTAAGTACATGCATCCACTAGGGATTGAAGCCAAGCCTCATGTGTATTTTGCACAAATAAGCATTAGAGATTGAAGCCAGTATCTCATGACTATGCACACAGTACTACCACTAGGAACCAAGGCATCATGAACGTCATACACACAGTACCAGAGGCTAAAGCCAGGGTCTCTTACATGTTAATCACAGCAATACAAGAGACTGAAGTCAGAGCCTCATTCTTGTTTTGTATACACAACCACTAGGGATCATCAATGTCTAGGAAGCACAGGGAGCAGAAAGAACATGGAAAACTAGAGCAAACAGTCAGGCAAACAGCAGTTGTAAATTCTGAGTAGGGGAAAACATTGTGAGAGTATTATAGCTGACCTGGAACTCACAGAGATCCATCTGACTCTGTCTCTCTAGTCTGGGATTTAAGGCATGCACCACCACAAAATCATAGAATAATTTCCCAAACTGAAGAATGACATGGTTAAGAAAGTGCAAGAAGCTTACCAAACATCAAAGACTCGAACAAAAAGTGTTCCCTTGCCACATAATAGTCAAAACACCAAACTTAGAGAATCAAGAGAGAGCAGTGAAAGAATAAGGCCAGGTAACATATGAAGGCAAACCTATCAGAATTACACCTGAGTTCTCCATGTTATCTCTGAAAGACAGGAGGTCCTGAATAGATGTTCTACAAACATAAGAGATCACGCATGCCAGTCCAGACTATTATACCCAGCAAAATTCTCAATCACTACATATGGAGAAAACAAGACATTCCATGACAAAACCAGATTTACACAATACTTGTGCATAAATCCAGCCATGCAGAAAGTTCTTGAAGGAAAATTCCAACTCAAGGAAGTTAACTACACTCTCAGGAACATAGGCAATAGATAGTCACACTTTACCAAAAGCAAGAAATAGGGTAAAATCACACACAATACCAACAGCAAAAACAGATCGAAAACAAACAACAATCAAAACTGAATGGCCATTAATATCCCTCAATGCTCTCAACTCACCTATAAAAAGACACGGGCTAACAGAATGGATACAAAGGCAGAATCCATCTTTCAGCTGCATAAAAGAAAACATCTCACCTTCAAAGACAGATGTAACCTCAGAGTTAAGGGCTGGGAAAAGATTATCCAAGCAAATAGCCCTAAGAAGCAAGCTGGTGTAGCTATCCTAATATCTAATGAGTTATACTTCAAACTAAAATTAATCAAAAGAGACAAAGAAGGTGATTTCCCATTCATCACAGGAAAAATCCATCATGATGAAGTCTCAATTCTGAATATCTATGCACCATAACAAATGCATCCACATTTGTAAAAGAAACATTACTAAAATTCAAATCATACAGTAAACTCCACACATATAGTGGGAGACTTCCAACACCCCCACTCTTACCACTAAACAGGACCAGACAGAAACTTAAGAAACCAAAACTAACAGAATTTATAACCCAATTGGCTTTAACAGATATCTATAGAACACTCCATGTAAACACAAAGAATATACATACTTCTCAGCACCACATAGAGCCTTTTCTAAAATTGACCAGATATTGGGCAATAGAGCAAACCAACAGATAAAAAATTGCAATAACCCCTGTATCTTGTTGAGCCATCATGACAAAATTAGACTTCAATAAAACACAAATTGCAGAAACCCACAAACTCAAGGAAAGTAAATAATGCTCAGTTGCATCACTCCTGACTAAAGGAAGAAATAAAGTAATCAGAGACTTCATAGTATTCAGTGAAAATGAAGGTACAACATATCCAATCCTATGGGACACTTTGAAAGCAGTGCTAAGAGGAAAGTTTGAAGCACTAAGTGCCCACCTGAAGAAACTGGAGAATAGACACACTAGAGAATTAACAGGACACCTGAAAGCTATAGAACAAATAGAAACTCAAACAGGAGGAGTAGGCACAAGGAAATAATCAAATCGAGAGCTGAAATCAATAAAGTAGAAAGAAAATACAAAGAATCAATGAAAGAAAGAGTTGGTTCTTTGAAAGAAGCAACAAGATACACAAAACTTTATCCAAAGGAACCAAAAGGCAGACAGAGAACATGCAAATTAACCTAATCAGAAATGAAAAGTGGGACATAACATACACTGCAGAAGTCCTGAAAATCATCTGGTCATATTTTGAAAACCTGTACTCCCCAAGTTGGAAAATTTAAAGGAAATGGATTACCAAAACTAATCAAGAATAAGCAATTTAAATAGACCTATAACACCTACGAAATAGAAACAATCATTAAAAGTCTCCCAACCAAAAAAAATCTTCAGGGCCAGGTGGTTTTAGTACAGAATTCTACCAGAAATTCAAACAAAATTTATACTCCCTAAATTTTTCCACACAATAGAAGATCATTGCTAAACTCTTTCTATGAGGCTACAATTACCTTCATACGGAAAATACACAAAGACACAACTAAGACTGAGAATTGAAGACCAGTTTCACTTATTAATATTGATGCAAAAATGCTCAACAAAATACTGGCAAATTGAATACAAGAAAACATCAGAAAAACTCAACTACCATGATAAAGCAGGCTTCATCCCAGGGACACAGATGGTTCAACATACAAAAATCCATCAATGTAACCCACCACATAAACAATCTGTAAAAGAAACCACATGATCATATCACTAGATGCTGAAAAAGCCTTTGACAAAAATCCAACAACCCTTTCAGGATAAATGTCTTGGACAGATCAGGGATAACAGGAACATACCTAAACTTAATAAAGGCAATATATAGCAAACTGACAGCCAACATTAAACTAAATTGAGAGAAAAAAATCAATGCAGTTCCTCCCTCTAAAATCAGTAACAGGACAAGTTTGTCCACTCACTATCTCTTCAATACTGTACTTGAATTCTTGCTAGAGCAATACAACAAAAAGGAGATAGAGACATACAAATGGGAAAGGAAGAAATCAAACTTTCACTATTTGCAGATAAGATAATTTATGTAAGTGACCCAAAGAATTCTACCATGGAACTCGTACAGCTGATAAACACCTTCAGCAAAGTGGCAGGATACAAGACTAACTCAAAAAAAACAGTATCCCTACTATATATAGAAAGTAAAGATACTATGAGAGGATTCAGTGAAACATCACCCTTTACAACAGCCACAAACATAAAATATCTTGGAGTAACTCTAACCAAAAAGGTGAAAGTTCTGTAATTACTTAAAGTTCTTGTCATAAAGAAAGAAATTAAAGAAGATTCCAGAAAATGGAAAGATCTCCCATGCTCTTGGATAGGTAGGATCCACATAGTAAAAATGGCAATCTTACAAAAAGCAATCTACAGATTCAATGCAATCCCTGTCAAAATCCCAGCACAATTCTTCACAGACCTTGAAAGGATAATGCTCAACTTTATATGGAAAAACAAAAGACCCAGGATAGTCAAAACAACCCTGTACAATACAGGAACTTTACGAGGAATCACCATCCCTAACTTCAAGCCCTACTATAGACCTATAGAAATGAACACAGATTGGTATTGGCACAAAACAGTCAGGTAGACTAATGGAATTAAATTGAAGACCCTGATATTAATCCACACACCTATGAAAACCTGATATTTGACAAAGAAGCTAAAATACAATGGAAAAAAGCATGTTCAATAAATGGTACGGGCAAAACTGGATACGGACATGTAGAAGATTACAGATGGATCCATATCTATTACCATGACAAACAAGTTCAAATGGATCAAAGACCTCAACAAAAATCCAGCCACACTGAGCTTCTTAGAAGTGGGAGGTACCCTTACAAGAACTGGCACAGGAGACCACTTGCTGAACTTAACTCTAGTAGCAGAGTCACTAAGATCGACAATGAATGAGACCTCCTGAAACTAAGAAGCTTCTGTAGTGTAAAGGACACAGTCACCAAGACAAAAAGGCAGCCCACAGATTAGGAAAAGATATTCACTAACCCCACATCTGACAGAGGGCTTATCTCCAAAATTTACAAAGAATTCAAGAAACAAATCTCCAAATCACCAAAAGGATCCAATTAAAAAGTGGGGCACAGAACTAGAGAATTCTCAATAGAGGAGTCTAAAGTGTCTGAAATACTTTTCAGAAAATGCTAAACATCCCTAGCCATCAGGGAAATTCAAATCAAACAACTGAGATACCATCTCAGTTGGCTAAAATCAAAAAACACCAATGACACTTTATGCTGGAGATGGTGTGGAGAAAGGAGAACACTCCTCCCCTTCTGGTGGAAATCAGTATGGATATTACTCAGGAAAATGTGAATCAGTCTACCACAAGATCCAGCAATTCCACTCTTAGGCATATACCCCAAAGATGCATATTCATACAATAAGGACTTCTCTTCCACTATATTCATAGTAGCGTTATTTGTAATAGCCAGATCCTGGAAGCAACCGAGATGCCCCTCAACTGAAGAGTGGATAGAGAAAATATGTTATATTTCCACAATAGAGTACTTGGAGTACTATTCAGCAGAAAAAAAAACAATGTTGAATTTTGCAGGCAAATGAATGACACTAGAAGAAACCATCCTGAATGAGGTAACACAGTCACAGAAAGACAAACATGGTATGTACTCACTTTTACATATATATATATATATATATGGATATTAGACACAGAGAAAAGGATTACCCACCTACAATTCACACTTCCAAAGAAGCTAGGAAACCAGGGGTCCATAAGAGAGACCTACAAGGTTCTCCCAGTGAAGGGGAAAAGACAAGAGTCCTTGAAAAACTTGATAGTAATGGGGGGAGGGAGGTATGAGATAGAGCAGGAGAGAACAGGAGCTGGGGGAGAACATGAGATCAGGAGGATTGAGTGGGGGGAGGAATAGAGGAGAGCAAGAATTGAGACAATAGAGGGAGCCACTGTAGGTTTAACGAGAAATCTGGCACTAGGGAATTGTACAGAGATCCACAAGGATGACCCCAACTAGGAACCTAAGAAATAGTGGAGAGGCTACCTTAAATGCCCTTCCCCTACAATGAGATTGATGACTACCTTAAATGCCATTCTAGAGCCTTCATTCAGTAGCTGATGGAAGCCAAAGCAGAGATCCACAGCTAAGCACTGAGCAAACTCCTGGAATCCAGTTTCAGAGAGGGAGGAGTGATGAACAAAGGATCAAGACCTCAAGACCAAGGTGGGAAATCCCACAGAAACAGTTGACCTGAGCAAGTGGGAATTCATGGACTCCAGACTGATAGCTGAGAAACCAGCAGAGGACCAAATCAGGTCCTCTGAATGTGGGTTTCAGCTAGGAGCACTGGGTAGTGTATGGAGCCTCTGGCAGATGAACCTGGATATATCCCTATGCACGAATGGACTTCAGGGCCCATTTCCCATGGAGGGATACTCTCTTAGCCTAGATATACTTGGGAAGGCCTAGGCCCTGCTCCAAATGACTTGATAGATTTTGATGATCCCTCATGGAAGACCACACCCTACTGGGGAGTGGATGGAGAATGAGATGAGGGTGTCAGTGTAGGGCATAGGAGAATGGGTGAGGAAACTGGAATTGTTATGTAAGATTGTTTCCAATAAAATTTATTTAAAAACCTAAACAAAAAACCAAACCAAAACACAAAAATACCTATAAAATAAACCAAAAAATAAAAAACCAAAAACCAAAAAAAAATCCCATAAAAAAGTAGAAAATAAAACAACACACATGCACACACAAAATTAACCAGTTCCCCCAAAGAACCAACCAATGAAACTCAATGACCTGGACTGGTTAACTTGAGACATAGAATGAAGAATACCTTTCACAGTTCTACTAATTCATAACGGCAACCAGCAAGTTCACCTTAGTACAATAAGCAAAAGACTGAGTGACTCAAACAGATGAGTGTGTCTTCCAACTGCACGTAAAGTCATTATTATTCACAGCATTAAGGATTATAGTGATGCATATTTTTTGATACCAAGCTGAGTGTGTCTTCAATGCCATCTTAGGCATGGCTATTGTGGTTCTTGTGAAGAGCAGTCCCTACTTCAGTGGACAGAGAAACAGGTACCAGTATTTAGGGCATTGAGCAACACAACTAACTTTGTTCTTTAATGAAAAATCAGAATTTTATCAGACATCCAAAACACAATAATCTAAACACAATGAAGTAATATGCTTAAAATAGTACAAAACACTATTTCCAAGCTAGCTACTAAGTGCAAGAATAAAATAAGGTCACTTGCAATTAATGGGCTTCTGAGACATTCCAGTTGATGAAGTACAACACAGCTAACTTCTAAGTACAAATGACACCCAGCCTTGCTGAGAGAAGCAAAGACCATTTAGGACTTGATCAGTGACACATGGGTACATTTACATCAAGAGGAGGCTCTGCACCCTTGGGACACACCCAGTTGTCCATCAGTAGAAGCAGGAGCCTCATGTGTAGGAGGTTAAACACCACGTACAGCTGAGCAGCTTGCCTCTGAGTCAGCATAATCAACACCTGCTGAGGGGTATGGACACAAAGATCAGCCAAGGGCAGGGAGAATTCCTGACATCCTCACGTCTGTTGCTTCCTACAATGCACACTGAAAGGCAATTGCAACCTAACCATCATTTTAATAAAAACTAAAACGTGCTGTATGGTGGTTTATCCATACTCATGGGTGAGGGACAGTCCCCCAAAGCACTGATGACCAGCAAACATTGAAGTCTATGTTTGTTAGTCAGAACTGAATGCTTGCTGAACATAGTAGTTCATACCTGTAATCTCAGTAATTTAGGGGTTGGCAGGTTGGTTGGTCTGAGTTTAACAAGATCTTGTCTCTAAAAGCCAAATAAACAGATGAAATTAAAGAACAGACAAATGAAAACACAACAATCCCCTAGGTGGCTAGGCATCTCTCTATAGGAAGAACATTGACTTCAGTGTGACTCAATTTAAAAAGTATTAGCTGGGTGTGGTGGTGCAAGCCTTTCATCTTAGCACTGGGAGACAGAGGCAGGCAGATCTCTTGAGTTCCAAGGCCAGCCTCGTCTACATAGAGAGACCAGTCTCAAAATTTTATGAGCATAATTTAATGCTCAAAATTTAAATGGTTACATTTTTATTAAGATTTATCTAGATGTTTTAAAATATGGAAACCAAAAAAGCTAAACAGCAACAAACAAAACTCTCAACCATTGGGTGGAAAATTCAGTCTAAGAAGGCTAAACATTGCATTCACACAACTTTAGATATATACATAGATCTCACCCCTTGGCATTTCCCCTGAACTGCTGAAGAAAAAGGAGTTCCCTTGGGTAAATGCTTTAGCAGGGTGGAAGGAAAGGACTTTCACTTTTTAGAATGGTGTGAGAGCAAATAATTCTTCCCCCCAGAAGAGACTCTTGCTGGCTTTTTGTTTGTTTGTTTGTTTGTTTGTTTTTTAGGGGAAGGGTTTTACAGTACATCATTTAATTTAACGTAAGCAAAAATAAATAAAAAGTAAAAACTACAATGTTTTCCTTAATCCCGTGTTCAAAACTTATGTGTGGCGAAGCAATTTATGACTTTATACCTTGGGTTAAAGTACTTTAGAACATCCCAGATTTCTTAATAGATCAGACTGGAAGCCGCCAAACTCCCTCCTCCCCCACCAGAACACAGGGTTGAGAAAACAGATTCAGCTGAGACACTTTGGGGGAAATCTGAGGGGGGCGGGCATGAGGAAGCATGGAGGACTGAAAGCTGCCCTGGATGTTTTCTGCAGAGTGAAGTCTTTTAAAAACAAACATAAACCCCAAACAGTAACAACAACCACAACAAAAAGCATCAGTTTCCTTTACCCTGCATTTCCACTATCATTCCTGCCTTCCCAGACACACCCATTCATCCCCGAGTGTCTGGAATGACTTGATAGAAGCAAGGAAACCTGCAGGGCTCAGCGGTAAGGATGCCCACTGCCATGCCCGAGGACCCAAGTTTGACCCCCAGAGCCCACATCGTGGGAGGGGAGAAGCATGTCTTTCATGCTGTCCCATGACTCCCACATGGGTGCATCCACATACATGGAAAATAGAATGCAGGGCTTCAAATCTCTTTCAAATTGGTCAGCGTCCCATTCAGATTTTCTCACTTGGCAACCGCAACAAACAATCCCTCAGGTCATATAGCAACTCTCAAACCATAAGTCACAGTGGTTCATGAGCCTCGCAGTTAACCCAGCAACAACCCAGACTCCCATAAAATGTGGCCCAGACATCAGCTCACCCCCAGCCAGCTGCATGTCTCCAGTTAACATCCAGGACTTGGAGGGGCGAAGGCACTTCCTAAATGCCCCACAGTCCAGGTTTGTATGAAAAACAAACTTGGGGTGACATTATCTCCACCCCAACGAGATCCTTCGACCCCTTAGCTCTCTCTGGTCTAAAGACAGAGCAGGGGGGAGAGTCAGCACAAGTTAACTGGCCTGAGAGAGGTGGTGATAATCTAGAGAACCAGCTGGAACTGAGGTAGAAGTAACCCAAAAGCTCACCTTCAAGCGCGGAGCCTTTTTCTGCAAAGGGGCAACCTCTGCAAGAGAGCCCCTCTGTCTCCACTCCACACCCGGGTGGTGACAGCCTTTGAGGCAGTTCAGGCTAGCGAGTGCTTAATGCCCATTGGCTGCAAGTTCTCACTGGCCCTTCCCCAGTAGACCCAGAACAGCTGTGCTGGAGAGCAAACATTGACAATCCTCCCACCCCTCGGCTTGCAGCTGCTCAGGGGAAGGTCATCTACCCCACCCCACCCCCATGAGCTTAGACTCTTATTATTTTTAAGATTTAAAAAAAAAGCATGAGTGCATGCACGGAGGCCAGAAGAGGGTATGGGATCCCTTGGGGTTGTATGAATTTGGGTGCGGGGGGGCCAAGCTAAAGTTCTCTGCTTACACCAACGGCTCAGGGCTCATAACCACGGATCTACTTGTCCAGATAAAGACTCATTCTTACCAGCGAGCACAGAACCTGGGATATTCACACACCCCACTGGGTGTTTCTGAGCAGCATGTATTCCGGGTCCTCACCTTTTACAAATGTAGCCTGGAAGTAGTGCTTAGCATTTACAGGTTTTTAAAATTTTGCTGCAAGCTGACAATCATAATCTGGTGTATGTGTGAAGTACAAAATGGCATTAAATATATTCAGTGTGAGATGACTAATTAAGCTAAATATCATTTTGGAATATTTATGTCATGGGGGAGAACTTGACATTTATTGTTAGCAAATTTTGAAATCTTTTTTGGGATTGCAGGGGTTTCAAGACAGGCTTTATTTGTGTAGCCCTGGCTGTCCCGGAACTCACTCAATAGACCTGGAGAGTCTTGAATTCAGAGATCTCCCTGCCTCCAGAGTCCTGGGATGTGTATGTTTGTGTATGTGTGTCTGTGCCTCTGTGTGTGTGTACTTGAATGTGCATGTAGAAGCCAGTGGTCAGCTTTGCCTGTCGTTCCCCAGGTGCTGTTTATTTTTCTAAAGAATTCATTTTTGTTTTATGTGTATTAGAGTATTCTGCCTGCATGTATGCTTGTACTGTGTGAGAGCGTGCATGTGTGTGTGTGTGTGTGTGTGTGTGTGTGTGTGTGTGCATGCGGTATGTGCATGCATGTGTGTGCCCACTTATGGTGCCCAGGGAGGTCAAAAGAGTGCATCAAATCCCCTGGAACTGGATTCATTGGTAGATGTGATCTGCCACATTGGTGAGGGGACCTGAGCCCAGGTCCTCTACAAAATCAGTACAGTAAGTGCTCTTAACAAATGAGCCATCTTCCCATCCCCCATTTTTAATGATAGTATTCCTGACTGGCTTAGAGCACACAACCCCCTCCTTTTTATTCATGGGTTAGGGGGCTTGAACTCTGGTCCTCAGGCTTGCACAGTGAGCACTGTACAGTTTGAGTGATTACCACGGACCCTACACTATATTAATTTTAAAAACTTACATTTACTTAGCATGTTTTTGTTTGCATGCATGTGTCTGTGTGTCACTGTGTGCATGTGTATATGCAAGTGTGCGTGGATGCAGGTGAGTGTGTGTATGTCTCTCAGGGGACAGTTTCATTCTCTCCTTCTACCATGTGAGACCTAGGGATTGAACTCAGGTCATCAGGTTTGACAGCAAGCACCTTTACCCATTAAGCTATCTTGCCAGTCTGAATTATCCCTAAATATAGTTGCTTCCTGGTGTAGCACACCTCCTATTTTCTTGAAACATTATACCTTCTACCTTCAAATTCCTTTCTCCACAGCCTCTGCTAACTACATTCTGCTTCTGAGTTCAAATGTCTTGGCGACATGCAGTGTTTGTCTTTCTGTGCCTATTGTACTACATTGAGTACCATGTTTTCTGTTAACAGTTCATACTTGCGGCTGCAAATAGCAGGATTTCTTGCTTTGTGATGGCTGATACAATTCTGTTATGCATGTGTACTACAATTTATTTATCCACCCACCTGCTGATGGCTACTTAGGATAATGCCACTTCCTGGCTATTATGAACAATGAGTACTTCCTTATTAGCACACAAGGCATTGTGTATCATTAAGTCATAAAATCTTTAAATGTTTATTTATGTGTGTATGTACGTGCCTGCACTAGCTAGTATGTACTGTGTGAGCACAGGTGCCTGTGGAAGCCAGGAGAGGGTGTCAAACACCAGAACTTGTCTTAAAAGCAGTCGTGAGACTCCCAGGGTGGGTTCTGAGAGTGAAACTTGAGTATTCTCAAGAGTACGAAATGCCCTTACCCCCCGAGTGACCATTCCAGCCCTCCTACCCTTACTGAACAAAGTGTCTTTTAGTCCTTTCTCTCCTGTCCTCTTACCACACCACCCTCTTAGGATAGGTTGATTATCTTGACTTGATCATTCCACACCGGATTTATATAACATCACAATTGTGCTGTCCACACTGACCATGATGACATCTGATGCATCTAATATGCTAATAGCAGTTTGACCACAACAGCTCAAATGAACTAAAAAAGTCAATAAATACAGAAAAAAACACTTCAATTATTTAGCTAAAATAATTGTGAAAACTTTCTGTACCTCCTTTATGTGTTGTGCAGGGTCTCATGGGATGAGTGTAATATATGTCCTGGTTTGAGAAGGGGTGGAGGAAATGGCTCAGTGCTTATTGCTCTTGCAGAGGATCTAAGTCCATTTCCCAGAAGCCACATAGGGTATCTCACAATCACCTAAAACTCCAGCTCCAGGAGTAACGGGGCGCCTTCTTCTGGCTTCTGTAGGCACTTGTGTACACAAACCCACGCACTGACACACACATACACACACCCACACACACACAATTAAGGAGAAAAGAAAGTAAAAACTAGAGTGTTTTATAATAATGAAGCCAATTGGGCTGAGGTCATAGCTTAGTGTTAGCATGCAAGCCTAGCACACATGGAGCCCCATGTTTGATCCCCGGCATCTCATAATACCAGGCATGGTAGGGCAGACCTGTAATCACAGCACGTGTTTGGTAGAAGGAAGGAGACCAGAAGACACTCAAGCTAGTCTGATCTAAATGGACAGATGGTCAAACCTCCCTCAAACTTTATTTATTATCCATTCATTGTTTAATTATGTGTGGGTGTGTCCATGGCATGTGTGCACACGGGGGTCAGAAGTAAACTTGATGGGAGTCATTTCTCTCCTTCCACTATGTGAATCCTGGAGATGGAACTCAGATCATCAGGTGGTAAGCCCTTTGGCCCATTTAGCATCTTGCTGGCCCAGATACCTCTACTTAAAAAATAATTGCTAATAGAACCGTGCTTCACCTGGTCATCACCAGAGTGGTTTCCTCTGGCAGCTGATGGGAGTGGATGAAAGACCAGAACAAAATATTAAGGAGAGAGAGAGAGAGAGAGAGAAAGAGAGAAAGAGAGAGAGAGAGAGAGAGAGAGACAGAGAGAGAGAGAAGACAAGAGAAGAGATAGAAGAGATAGAAGAGAGACAGAGAGAGAGCTCAAATTGGAGATCTCCATGGGATTCTTCCCCACAGACCTCAGGGGACCCTGTGGAAGAGGGGGAGGAAGAATTGTAAGAGCCATAGAATCAAGGACACCAGGAGAACAGAATTGATCAAGCAGGTCTCATAGGGTCTCACAGAGACTGAAGCAGCACCCACAGAGCCTGCATGGGCCTGAGCTAGATCCTCTCCATATATGCTATGGTTGTTAGCTTGCTGTTTTTGCAGGACTCCTAACTCTGACTCTTTTGTCAGCCCTTGGCTCTCTTATCCTCCCACTGGATTGTCCCTTCCAGCCTTGATAAGAGTCTGTGCCTAGTCTTTCTGTAACTGGTTCTGCCATGTGAGGGTGCTCTTCCTGGGAGGCCTGTTTTTTTCTGAAGGGAAACAGAAGTGGAGTGGGTCTGGGGGACTAGAGAGGGGCACTAAGTGGAGTGGAAAGACTGGAAACTGCAGTCAGGATGAAAGAAAATTTGAAAAGAAAAGGGGAGAGAGAAAAATAATGCTAGATAATGTTTACTATGGTTGTTCAAGATCCAGGATCAACCTTGGTGCCTTTCAAGGGATATATTGTACTAACGTAGTTTAAATCTGTGCATTCTCTTTATCTCTATATCAGTATGTATGAAGTATCCTCAAAAAATAGACCTACTCTATGACAGAGCTGCACTACTTATCAGGACACATGTGTGCCAGTGATCCTGGTCCTCAGGAGGCTGAGGCAGGAGGATGATGAGTTTGAGGCCCGTGGGCACTTTAACCTCGCAGCCATCTCTACAGCTCCTCAATGGAGTTCAGCTGCCCTCAACATGGATGCACAGGTGTCTAGCTGTTTGTTAATATCTCAGGTAGATCCCTCAGTTCTTACTCACATTTGTAGAAGCTCTCAGTCTCTGTGCATCTCTGCCTGTTTTTGTGACTCTGTGTCCCTGTGTCTTTATGGTATGTCTCTGTGTGAGACAAGTCTCTGCCTGTCTGTGTCTTCTGCTTTTCTGTCTTTCTCTCATTGTGTCTTTGTCTCCCTATCTCTGACTCCTCATTTGAATGTCTTTGTGCTGTGTCTCCTGCATGTCTTCCCATTTTTTGTTCTTCTATATATCTCTTTATCTCTGTCTTCCTGTCTGTGTCATATCTCTCTGCCTGTGTAGCTGTATATGCATCTCTCTGTCTCTTTGTCCTTCTTAAACCAACATTGTTACTTTTCTTGGAAATGCCCTATGGCAGCCAACTTTTAGAGGTAGGAACAGGTTTCTTCTGAACAGTGTATGTACTGGGCAATTAGTTAATGAACACTTGCCCATGCTGAATTCCTGGTGTATTTAATGTAGTTCTCTCAGCACCCCAGCAGGTGAAACAGATTTACCAACCCTTGTAACCACCCGGTCCCACTTCAGTGTCTGATCTGAATAGGAATATAGTGATAGTCCCTAACCCAGAGGGGGCTCACACCAACCTCCTGAAAACTAGCCTGTTCCACACAAAGAAGGGTCTGCAAATCAGCAGCTGCTTCCAGTTTACATTAGAAAGGATTTGCCTCCATAGCATCTTGAGGCATTAAGAGTTCCAGTCTTACACCGTATGATGCTTACCCACCTGGGCCTGGCAGAGAACAACTTGAGGGATGCAGGGTCGAGGCATATCTGTAGAGCTTTGAAATATTTTACATGTCCTTTGCAGAGACTGGTGTAAGTCTACAAGTATTTTCTTCCTGGAACTCTGTAGTGGGGAGGGGAGACTAGGAGTCTGTTAAGGATTCATTTATGCAGGAGGATAAGTATCCTGATGATTTTGTTTCCTTTTTTTTTTTGAGACAGGGTTTCTCTGTATTGTTATGGAGGCTGTCCTGGAACTAGCTCTGTAGACCAGGCTGGCCTCAAACTCACAGTGATTCCCCTGCCTTTGCCTCCCGAATGCTGGGATGGATGCAGCTGAAAAGAGACTCTCAGCATGTGACTATCTGGATCAGAGTGTGGACCTTTGAGATGCCTGTGGGAGATTGCCTTGAAGGTGTTCAATAGAAAGACTCAGTCTGAAAGTGGGTGTAAGTATTAAAATGACTTGTGTCCTGGACTGTATGAAAGTTGACAAAGTGAGTGGATTATAAGCATGCATTTATTCTCTCTGTCTCTATCTCTGTTTCTGTCTCTGTCTCTCTGTTCTTATCTGTGAATGTGACAAGCTGCTACAAGGTTTTCCAGGGAGCTTGAATTTGCCTGCTCTGCTAGGGGCTGATGAAACAAGGCACCGCAGGGTGGAGTGAGCCCACAGCAGGGGGCATGGTACTTATGCAGAGGGTGATGGAGTGCTGACTGGCTTGACCTTGTGCAAACCTTATGCAGACCAACAAGGCTACTGTGAAATGAGGAATGAGTTCAAAGTATATAGGAAAGTTGTTACTACTGTCATTTTGTAGGCAAGTAATCTACTGGCTGAGTCCTCCTTAACCCACACAGTGGAAATGTTTAGATTTTATGGATGTGGAGGAGCATCATTGGGGGAGCTACTAGATGGAGGTCAAAGAGTCTGAACACTAGATTACATTAAATTTATCTTGGCACTGATTGTGGAGTCACACACTGGTAGGATTTGCTGAAGGAGGCATTAACAGGAGGATCACCAGTTTGATGCAAGCCTGGGCTACAAATTTTTAAGCCAGGAGGCGGTGGCAGACAACTTTAATACCACTACACAGGAGGCAGAGGAAGGCAGAAGTCTGTGAGTTCAAGACCAGCCTGGTTTACAGAGTGAGTTCCAGGATAGCCAGGACTGCTTTACAGAGAATCCCTGTCTCAAAAAACAAAACAAAACAAAAATTCCTCTTGGCAATCTCATGTATTTGCAAAGCTGTGTTTTCAGTGACAGTTATGGCAACAGGGACCTTCCTAATTAAATGAGGGAAAAGGGGCAACCTGAATGAATGATGCCTTAGGGATAATGTCTTCTTGCTATCACTCTGCTGCTGTGGATCAGAATGCTCCTCTTCCTCCTCCTCCTCATCATCATATTCCCCTTCCTCTTCCTCTTCCTCCTCCTCTTCTTCTTCTGTTTCTTCTTCTTCTTCTTCTTCTTCTTCTTCTTCTTCTTCTTCTTCTTCTTCTTCTTCTGCTTCTTCTTCTGCTTCTTCTTCTGCTTCTTCTTCTGCTTCTTCTTCTGCTTCTTCTTCTGCTTCTTCTTCTGCTTCTTCTTCTGCTTCTTCTTCTGCTTCTTCTTCTGCTTCTTCTTCTGCTTCTTCTGCTTCTTCTTCTGCTTCTTCTTCTGCTTCTTCTTCTGCTTCTTCTTCTGCTTCTTCTTCTGCTTCTTCTTCTGCTTCTTCTTCTGCGTCTTCTGCGTCTTCTGCGTCTTCTGCGTCTTCTGCGTCTTCTGCGTCTTCTGCGTCTTCTGCGTCTTCTGCGTCTTCTGCGTCTTCTTCGTCTGCGTCTTCTTCGTCTGCTTCTTCCTCCTCCTCTTCTTCTTCTTCTTCTTCTTCTTCTTCTTCTTCTTCTTCTTCTTCTTCTTCTTCTTCTTCTGCTTCTGCTTCTTTTTCTGTTTCTTCTTCTTCTTCTTCTTCTTCTTCTTCTTCTTCTTCTTCTTCTTCTTCTTCTTCTGCTGCTGCTGCTGCTGCTGCTGCTGCTGCTGCTGCCACTGCTGCTGCTTCTGCTGCTTCTTTTGCTTCTTCTGCTGCTTCTTTTGCTTCTTTTCCTCTCTCTCTCTCTCTCTCTCTCTCTCTCTCTCTCTCTCTCTCTCTCTGTTTTTTGAGACAGGGCTTCTAAGTCTATCTTTGGAACTCAGTTTATAAACCAGACTCATGAGATTCTCCTGCCTCTCACTCCTGAGTGCTGGGATTAAACTCAAGTGCCACAACCACCCAGCCCAGAATGCTTTCTAAATGATTATCTGTTGACCATTTATCTTGCACTGACATGTATTCCTTAGACAGCTTTCCTCAGAGTCCATATTAGTCATTTTATCATTTGTGTATCCAAATACACAACAAGAAGTTACTCCAGAAAAAAATTGTTCATTGTGGCACAAGGTTTGAGGGGAATACTCATTCTGTCCTCATGAGAAAGACATAGTGGCAGGAGCAGGAGACAGCCAGACATATTGAGTCTGTAGGTGTGAACCACAGAGCAGACAGGAAATAGGGTAACAAAACCTCCCAACTCAGCTGGCAAGATGCACTGCTTGACAACCAGAGTTAGAGTCCAGGGAACAATGTAGTTAAAGGAGATAGCCAGGTCTTGTAAAGGAGATAACCAAGCCTGGAAAATTGTCTTTAGACCCCTCAACATGTGTATTATGTCATCAGCACACACACACACACATACACACACACACACACACACACACACACACACATGAATGTGCACACAGAAGCAACCAAGGATGCACGTGCATACACATACCATGCAAAAAATTAGTGCTACTTATCTGCAATATGTATGTATGGCCATCCATTAGAGCACTGGCAAGTTACTGGGGACAACACACCCCAAAACAAATGACTCTCGCTCACCTAGCTGCCATCAACTATAACAAGCTCTTTGGTTAGGGGTGAGGACTTGTTAGTCCTTCCCCAGTGTATGGTGGATTTTTAACTTGATCTTGTGCAGGTCTCATGCCAGCAACCATAGCTGCTGTGTGTCAATGAGCACAAGAGTTACCTCATGGCCAGAAGGCAACATTCCACAGCTCTCCTCCCATCTTTCAGTCCTTCCTTTTATCCCTACCATGTTCCCTGGGAGGTTAATAAAGATGTCATATTTGTCAAAAACATGGAAGCAGTAAGGGCCATTCAAGAGTGTTCTGGTTATTTCCTTTCAGGCTGAGGCAGTGTTCCTTGACTTCAGCTTGCTGTGAGCACATGACATCAGCTCTCAAGAACAACAAAGGCCTGAGAAGTCTGGACCTGAGTTGTAATAGGCTGAGTGACGATGGGGTCATCCTACTTTGTGACTCTCTGGCAGATGCTGACTGCAAATTGTCAATTCTGGAAAGAGTCTCCCTCCATTTTCTTCTCTGAGGCCAAGGTTCTTCTACCTTACGTTCTCTCAGGGTGCACTTCCAGATTGTTCCTTCCACTCAGGAATCTGGCAGCTCTAGACAGTCATTCTGAAAATATGGTTTTACCTGGAAAGTGTTTACCAACATATGTACTGTTGACTGCCCAGTATTGTTGACCATTCCTAGAGGCTGCTTCTTGTAGAGCCTCATATACAACTTGTAGGCAACCCCCCTGGAGAGTCTCCTCAGCAGTTATTACCGCTTATAACAAGCAGAGGGAGGGACATTTTGAGTCCTGTAAGTTTAGGAAACTTTCTGGGCCTTGAAAGTTTCAGTCTCTTACCTGGCTTTTTGAGCATGCCTCCTCCACCTATCAGGAGGGAATATAGCAAACAGCTATAAGTGCCACGTTTACATGCTAGCATATTATTTCTAACACAGCATTTTTCTCTGTAGCTCTTAACCACAGAATAAACTCCCAAGCACCTGCTACTTTTGTACCCCTGTAGGCAAGAATCCTTGCCGAATCTGAAGCTTGCTAGGGGATTGCAATATGGCTCAGCTGTTGTGCAATCTGGGGCTGGGCACTCTGAGCTGAGTCCTCAGATGGTGGGGCGTGCCGCCTTCACCCCTGTCTGTGTCTGTCCTACAGGCTGGAATGGTGCAGCTTCACCTCCCACGCTTGCCATGCTATAGCATCCATGCTTGGCAGTCACAGGAAGCTGATGTACTTGGACCGGAGCAAGAATGTCATCGGAGTCAGTAGCATACTGACCTTGAGCCTGGCATTCTTGTCCCATAGGCAGGCAAAAGATGTCATTCTGTAAGTTCTATGAGAAACTAGTTTCCTAAGAAGAATACTGTAGCCTCAGTAGCAGCTGGGAAGGGGTTAAGCATTTTCTTACCTTAAAACTCAAAAGACTGGAATGTCAATTTGTCACAAAATAGGGTTTAATGCAGTCTGACTCTCTTTTCCCTGAATTCATCTGGCTGGGTTCCCCAGGGAGGTATCCTCAGGTATCTATTCCAGATAGCTGCCTTCCTAAATCCCCTATTCCATGGGTTCAGAACACTAATGTACAGCCAGGGGTCCTCGTATCCTCCTGTTCTGATGTCAGGTCAGGCATGAGGCCGATTCCCAATCCCAGGATGAACTGAGAGCACCTGGAATTGTAGGTACCCACTGACAGATAAAGAAGGTGGATGCTCAGGCCTCCTGATTACCTGCAGTTATTTAATGAGCTATCAATATCTTATTGACCTAGGTAGGCTTCCCATGCACAAACACAACTCAAAATCTCCCTGTGGAGAGGGAAATGCTACCATGAATGTTTCCGGGAATGTGACTGATTCCTGGGGACAATCAGTCCCCTTCATGTGTCCTTCAGACCAGCCTCCTGCCTCATGGGAAAGGGATCTGTGTCCTCCTGACTGCTACCCTCTTGCCTTTCTTCCTTTCCTTTCTGTTTTCTTCATTTTATTTTCCAGTTTTGGCTGAAATACATGGGGCAGAAACAGATGCACAGAAACAAAAAGAGCAGCAGAGAGACAAACAGGGACACATAAACAAAAATGTAGGAGTGAACCCCACAAACCTATCCACCCATGAGGGCGGGGACATGTAAACTCACACAGGTAGATATAAAAGGAAGTGAAAGGAAAAGGAACATCCCTTTTCTCCTGGAAGCCAGCCACGCTTCTAACTCCTGGTTTGTGCGACTCTCTCTCTGGTAAATAAATATATTGTTTTCCATATAGTATCATTATACAAAAACACACAGAAAAAGAGAGGCAGGGAGACAGAGACACGTATATAGTGACACACCGAGATAGGGGATATGTGTGCATGAAGAGCCACATAGAAAAACAGAGACACAGAGTCATTTGCAGACAGACACACAGAGACAGAGATGTAGAGCAATTCAAAGAGAAACACACTGGGAGACAGACACACAGATATTGAGGTAGAGAAGAAACATAGACACCATATAGAGACACATGTAGGCAAAGAGCCAGAAGGTGACAGACCTTTCTCCCGTTCAGTGTACACCCCATACACCTACTTTATTCTGTTGGCCACTGTGGTCAGCCCTGGTCCACCAGAATATGAATGGTATGACAGTACCTAGGCTATGGGGGGAGTGCCTAGGGGCACTGCTTACTTTGTGTCCCAAGCAAGTGAGTCACAGCACAGGAATCCAGGCCCAGAACTGTTTATTTCTAGACATTTCTTCATAATGTAGAACAGGATGGCCTCACACTCATAGAGATTCTCCAGCCTCTGCCTCCTGGGGTGCTAGGATTAAAGGCATTCACCACTACAAATACCCAAGTCAGAACCAGCTTGCTCTTTGTTTAGTCCTGGCCTCATGCTGGTCTCCTAGGTGGCAATTTGCTGTGCTAGAGTGTTCCTGGATCTTCTGGGATTAAAAATACCAAGCCTTGTTCTATGCCCTTCCCAGGAAGAAGACATTGAATAATAGAGTGGACATGTACACAAGACTAAAGGGTCCAGAGGTTGGGGACGGCTGTCTGAAGATTGTGCAAGACAGGAACTCTTAATGCCTCAAGATGCTATGGAGGTAAATTCTTCCTAACTTAAACTGGAAGCAGCTGCTGATTTGCAGGCCCCTCTTTATGTGGAACAGGTTAGTTTTCAGGAGCTTAGTGTGAGCCCACCTGGGTTAGGACTATCACTATACTCCTATGCAGATCAGACACTGAAGAGGGAACAGATGGTTAGGAGGGTTGATAAATATCTGTTTCACCTGCTGGGGTGCTTGGGGAACTACATTAAATACACCAGGGATGCAGCATGGACAAGTGTTCATTAATTAATTGCCCAGCACATACACTGTTCAGAAGAAAGAAACCTGTCCCTACCTCTAAAATTTGTTTGCCATAGGACATTTCCAAGGGAAATAACAACATAGGTTTAAGAAGGACAAAGAGACAGAGAGATGCATATACAGCTACACAGGCAGAGAGATATGGAGACAGACAGATAAAGAGAAAGACAGAGATAAAGAGACATATAGAAGAACAAAAATGTGAAGACATGCAGGAGACACAGCACAAAGACATTCAAATGAGGAGTCAGAGATAGGGAGACAAAGACACAAGGGGAGAAAGACAGAAAAGCAGAAGACACAGACAGGCAGAAGCATGTCACAAAGAGAGACACATCCATAAAGACACAGGGACACAGAGTCACACAAACAAACAGATGCACAGAGACTGAGGGCTTCTACAAATGTGAGGAGGAACTGTGGGATCTACCTGAGATATTAACAAACAGCTAGACACCTGTGCATCTACGTTGATGGCAGCTGAACTCCATCCAGGGACTGCAGAGATGGCTGTGGGGTTAAAGTGCCCACTGGCCTCAAATTCATCATCCTCCTGCCTCAGCATCCTGAGGACCAGGATCACTGGTGTGTTCTGAGTAGTGCAGCTGTGTCATAGAGCAGGTCTATTTTTTGAGGCTACTTCATAACTACTGATGAAGAGATAAAGAGAATTCACAGATTTAAACTACGTTAGTACAATATATTCCTTGAAAGGCACCAAGGTTGATTCTGGATCATGAACAAACACAGTAAAAATTATCTAGCACTATTTTTCTCTCTCCCATTTTCTTTTAAATTTTCTCTCATCTGACTGAAGTTTCTTCTCTTTCCACTCCTCTTACTCCCCCTCTCTTGCTCCCCAGACCCACTCCTCTTCTGTTTCCCTTCAGAAAAAAACAGGCCTCTCAGAAAAAGCACCCTCACATGGCAGAACCAGTTACAGCAAGACTAGGTACAGACTCTTTTCAAGGCTGGAAGGGACGATCCAGTGGGAGGATAAGAAAGCCAAGGGCTGACAAAAAACTCAGAGATAACTCATGTCCTACTGTTAGCTTGCTGTTTTTGCAGGACTCTTAACAACCATAGCATCTATGCAGAGCACCTAGCTCAGAACCATGGAGGCTTTGTGGTTGCTGCTTTAGTCTCTGTGAGACCCTGTGAGACCTACTTAGTTGATCCTGTTCTCCTGGTGTCCTTGACTCTCTGGCTCTTACAATTCTTCCCCCCCCCCTTCCACAGGTTCTCCTGAGCTCTGTGCGGAAGGATCCCATGGAGATCCCTAATTTGAGTTCTCTCTTTCTCTCTCTCTCCTTAATATTTTGTTGTGGTCACTTCATCTGCTCCCATCAGCTGCGGAAGTAATCCACTCTCATGATGCCTGGGTGAAGCAGGGTTCTACTAGCAATTATTTTTTAAGTAGAGGTATCTGCACCAGCAAGATGCTTAATGGGTCAAAGGGCTTACCACCTGATGATCTGAGTTCCATCTAAAGGATTCACAGAGTGGAAGGAGAGAAATGACTCCCACCAAGTTAACTTCTGACCTCCATGTGCAGACATGATATGGACATACCCACATATAATCAACCAATGAGTGAGTAATAAATAAAGGTTGAGGGAAGTTTGACCATCTGTCCAGACTGGCTGGAACGTCTTCTGGTCTCCTTCCTTCTTCCAACCACGTGCTGGGATTACAGGCCTGCCCTACCATGCCTGGTATTATGAGATGCCGAGGATCAAACATGGGGCTCCATGTGTGCTAGGCTTGCATGCTACCACTGAGCTATGACCTCAGCCCAATTAGCTTCATTATTGTAAAACACTCTAGTTTCTTCTTTCTTTTCTCCTTAATTGTGTGTGTGTGTCAGTGTGTGGATTTGTGTACACAAATGCCTACAGAAGCAAGAAGAAGGCACCCCCTTACTCCTGGAGCTGGAGTTTTAGGTGAATGTGAGATAGCCTATGTGGGTTTTGGGAAATGAACTCAGATCTTCTGGAAGAGCAATAAGCACTGAGCCATTTCCTCCACCCCTTCTCAAACCAGCACACATATTATACTCATCCCATAAGACCACACACAACACATAAAGGATGTACAGAAAGTTTTCATAGTTATTTTAGCTAAATAATTAAAAAATTCAAGTGTTGTTTTTTTCTTTATTGATTTTTTTTAGTTCATTTGAGCTGTTGTGATCAAACTGCTATTAGCATATTGGATGCATCAGATGTCATTATCGTCAGTGTGAACAGCACAATTGTGATTTTTATATAAATCCAGTGTGGAATGATCAAGTCAAGATAATCAACCTATCATAACAGGGTGGTGTGGTAAGAGGAGAGGAAAGAATGTACTAAAAGACACTGTGTTCAGTAAGGGTGGGGAGGGCTGTAGTGGTGGCTCGGGAATTAAGGACATTTCCTACTCTTGAGAAGACTCAAGTTTGGCTCTCAGAACCCACACTGGGAGTCTCACGACTGCTTTTAACTCTGGTTCTGGTGTTTGACACCCTCTCCTGGCTTCCACAGGTACCTGCGCTCACACAGTACATACTAGCTAGTGCAGGCACATACATACACACATAAATAAACATTTAAAGTTTTCATGACTTAATGATACACAATGTCTTGAGGGAAGCACTCATTGTTCATAATAGCCAGGAAGTGGCATTATCCTCAGTATCCATCAGCAGGTGGGAGGATAAATAAATTGTGGTACACGTGCATAACGGAATTGTATCAGCCATCACAAAGCAAGAAATCCTGCTATTTGCAGCAGCTAGTATGAACTGTTAACAGAAAACATGGTACTCAATGAAGTACAATAGGCAGAGAAATACAAGCACTGCATGTAGCCAAGACAGTTGAACTCAGAAGCAGAATGTAGTTTGCAGAGGCTGTGGAGAAAGGAATTTGAAGGTAGAAGGTGTTATGTTTCAAGTAAGTAGGAGGTCTGCTACACAAGGAAATGACTATATTTATGTATAATTCAGACTAGCCAGATAGCTTAATGGGTAAAGTTGCTTGCTGTCAAACCTGTTGACCTGAGTTCAATCCTTGGGTCTCACATGATATAAGGAGACAATCAAACTGTCCCCTGACAGACATACACTTAACTGCATCCTTGCCCACATGCATATTCACACACACACAGGGACACACAGACACATGCATCCAAACAAAACATGCTAAGTAAATGTAAGTATTTAAAATTAAGAATAATATAGTGTTGGGTCCGTGGTAATTGCTCAAACCATACAGTGCTCATTGTGCAAGCCTGAGGACTCCAGTTCAAGCCCCATAACCCATGATTAAAAAGGAGTGGATTTTGTGCTCCACGCCAGTCTGGGATACGGTTATTAAAAATGGGGGATGGGAAGATGTCTCATTAGTTTAGAACACTTACTGTAATGTTCTTGCAGAGGACCTGGGCTCAGTTCTCCTCACACATGTGGTAGATAACAGGTACCAATGAATCCAGTTCCAGGGGATTTGATGCCCACTTCTGACCTCCCGGGGCACACATATGCATGCATGCACACACACACACACACACACACACACACACACACACACACAGATACATGCTCGCACACAGTATAAACATACATGCAGACAGAATACACTAATACACATAAAACAAAAGTAATTAAAAAAATAAACAGCACCTGGGGAACTACAGGCAAAGCTGACCACTGGCTTCTACATGAACATTCAAGTACACACACAGAGAGGCAAAGACACACATACACAAACATATATGTCCCAGGACTCGAGAGGCAGGGAGATCTCTAAAATCAAGACTATCCAGGTCTACTGAGTGAGTTCCAGGACAGCCAGGGCTACACAAAGAAAGCCTGTCTTGAAAACCCTGCCAACGCAAAAGAGATTTCAAAATTTGCTGACAATGTCAAGTTAACCCCCATGACATAAGTATTCCAAAATGATATTTAGCTTAATTAGTCATCTCACACCGAATATACTTAATGCCATTTTGTACTTCACACATACACCGGTTTATGACTGTCAGCTTGCAGTAAAATTTTACAAACCTGTAAATACTAAGCACTACTTCCAGGCTACATTTGTAAAAGGTGAGGACCCCGAATACATGCTTCTCAGAAAAACCCAGTGGGGTGTGTGAATATCCCAGGTTCTGTGCTCGCTGGTAAGAATGAGTCTTCATCTGGATAAGTAGATGCATCGTTATGAGCCCTAAGCTGTGGGTATAGCAGAGGTCTTTAGCTTGGCCCCCAGCACCCAAATTCATACAACCCCAAGGCATCCCATACCATCTTCTGGCCTCCGTGCCTACACACATGCTTTGTTTTCCAACGATCCCAAGTGGAGTTTTATTGGTAGACAGGGAGGTAAAGGGGGGGTGAGAGGTAACCATGTATAGCTTAAAGAGATAGAGAGAGGGGGGGGAGATAGGGAGAGAGATGAGAGTAAGAGAGGAGATGAGATGGAGGATAAGATGAGAGTAAAAGATTAAAAAAGAGCATAAGCAGACAGGGGTCAGTCTTTTAAAGGGGTCCTTTGCACCTGCGTGGTTCTCACTGAACTCTGGTCTGGCCAGAGTGCTGCCTGAGTGCATCTTGCCAGGTAACAAGGCAGGCCAGCATAATGCCTGAACCTTTCATTCCCACCTTTATTTATGATTAAAAAGATGTGGGGATGTTAGACATGGCAGGATTGAGATCAAGGAAATTGAGTCCTTTTTTTTTCTTGGTTTTTCGAGACAGGATTTCTCTGTATTGTTTTGGAGGCTGTCCTGGAATCGGCTCTGTAGACCAGGCTGGCCTCGAACTCACAGAGATCCACCTGCCTCTGCCTCCCGAGTGCTGGGATTAAAGGCATGCACCACCAATGCGTGGCGGAAGTTGAGTTCTTAAGAGTGCTTCCTGCTGACCTGGGGATATCGATCATCTTTGGGGGAACCTGAGAAAGCTGAGGTGTTGCCATGCTGGTTTTTCTATTGTAGTCCAGGCTGCATGGGACTCTTTGGTGCATCTGTAGATCTGGCAAGAGGTTAGCAGAGTAGAGGACACAGTTAGGTTTAAAATTTTCTTTCTTAAGTCCTGGTATTTGAGGGGAAGTTTGTAAGATGAGGGAGGGCTTCCTCAGGGGTCCCAAGATGAGGGAAGGGTGTCCTAGGACCAGGGAGAGGATGAATAATAGCACACAAGAAGTCTTGGTCTCTTTTCCCAGAGTTTGGCTTCCAGTTCGGCAGTGGAAAACTACTTGGCTCATCTGGGTTACTTGTTTGGTATCTTGTGAGTAATTTCTACAATAAATACTTAGTTTTACTTTCAGTAAGTGTGCCGTTTATTGTTACAGCATCAAGTTGTTCCCTTATTATAAAGAGTAAAAGAAAATAAAAAAATTACTGATTGCATTGAGGTTCATATAGGTCTCCAGCATCACATCTTTGTAGAGATTCCTCTGTGAAGGTTCCAGCAAATCCCACTCTTCCTGAGTGAAGTTGATATGCAAATCTTTAAAGGACATCGCAGGTTACTGTATCCTACAATATGCCATACATATATAAAAAAAGCATGATAAAGACAGCACTGTAAATGTATACTTCTTTCACAGTATAATCACATAACGATGCACTTTCCCATACTTACTCCATGCACGGGTATTATATTTAAGTCACTTTCGAAGTAGACTTTAGAGGGGTTTTACCTCTATCATTCCTGAATCCTCTGAAAGGGATATTACTTTGCAAGAGTAATACCTATTAACAGACACAGAGAGATGTGCAAACAGATGAACACACTGAGTCTACATCAGAGAAATTGTGTGAATAATTACCTACTACTAAATGTTGAGCAAGCTGGCCTTAAATTTTGCATTTTCCTGTTTACAGAACCTGTACATCATTGATGATTCCCCAAATATGGTTTCTAAATCCTGATGTAACCTGTCTGGCATGGACCAAAGTTGTAGCATATTTTGTATAAAATTGTTTCCTAGCCCTAGGAATCTCTTTGTTAAACCTTATGCTAACCGAGGGCATAGAAGCATGGACTATTACCCTTTGTGTAATTAGCTAAGTTTTCAATGTAGAGCAAGGGCTTATTATGCTTCAATGTAGAGCAAGGAATTTATTTCCCAGTGAAATCCAAGGACCTGGGCCTCCACTACCTGTCATTCCCATGAACATGACCAATTTCCAGGCCCTTCCACAGCAGCTGATTAATCTCTATGTAGAGCTTTCTAATGCTTTTGACTTCCAAAGACCTGACATCTTCCACATTCTTCCAAAAGATGAAATTCTCAGGTTCTGCCCAACAACAAAATAATGATTTGTGTGCTATTTTTTTCTTCCATCTTGTTTCTCTGCTGCTGTGATTAAATTCTATAACCAATTCTCTCAGGTAATATATGGGTGTATTTTGCTGATTCTGTCATATCACGGTCCATCATTATGTAAGGTTAGGATGGAAATTCAAGTGAACTACTGAAGCAAAAATCATGACAGTTCTTAGATTTCCTAGATATCTCATTATTTAGTCATTATCTCATTTGCAGCCAGTTCTCTAATCCAGCACAGGCCAATATTCTTAGGGATATTGCACCATCAATGGAAAGGCCTTGACCCATATATTGTCAATGAAAAAAATCTCTCAAAGCATAGCA